AAAAAAAAAAAAAGAAAATTGTTTTGAACAAATATATTTATATCCAAACACGTCCTTGATGATGATATTTGGACAGTTAAATTAAGAAACCAATTTCTGGAGGATTACTTTTCAAATTAAATATATTCTAAGGCTATTGTGAATATTTCTGCTAATTTGTGGTTTATATTGTAATGTTATGGATCATACACACTCACACATATATATACACACATTTGTTGATTTAATAATAATAAAGGTCATGTGGTCGTCCTTTAGCCACACGGATAGGAAGGATATAATAATTATATAAATAACCAATTTAGTGACATCTCTTAATTAATTAATTAAGATCACCTAAAAGCTCTAGGGTGTTTTTGGTAATTGTCACTTGGCATTTATACGAACTGTGGTAGATAGATAGGTCCACAGATACGTACCTACCTACTCAGAGCCTTGTCAACAGGTCGGGGTACAAATTTTTCTTCAAAGCCTACTTCCTAATTCCTACAATTTGCGAACAAGAAAATAATTCAAGGTCTGCTGATTAGGGATTTTTTTTTTAATTTTTAATTATTATGTTTTTGACAAAACGAATTGACAAACATTTGCACAAAGTCCAAAATACTGGACTGGAGTTGCTACATTTTGGAGATGGTCAATGAAAATATATATATATATATAAATCTCACCTTTCTTTTCATCACAGTTGTGGACAATTAATTCCACAAGCCGTAGCTGCTAGATTCTTTTGGATTTTTTATTTTTTTAAAAAAAAAAATATTTTAAATTTTAATTGTGGCCTGTCATTTTGTTCCAATTTTGAATCCTAATCAATCGTGTTTAGGTAGTAGTTAATTTTAAATGTAAATACCTATTTAGAAATATAAAAAAAAAAAACTATTTGATTTATTTTATTATTAAATTGTTAACTTTTTTTTTTTTATAATTATTATTATATATAACTGAACATAGAGAATGCATGAATGTAATTTTTGTGGCAGGAGGTAAAAAATGGTGATGTGGATGAGAAGGAAGTCGATGGTTGTCAGCTGTCTCTATCTCTGTCTTTGGCAATGCAAAAAACTAATGTGTCGTCCACCACTTTCAGTGAGATTAGCGAGGCAGTTTCTTCTTCTTCTTCTTCAAATTCCAAGTCTAGTTTTTCTCAGGAATTAGTTGAGCTTAATTTAGACTTGTCTATTGCTCCCCCGTGTCGAGTGGCTCATGACTACTTTTCTTAATCGTCGGAGATAATTAAAATAGAAAAAGGCTCGTCTTCCTTGAACAATTTCATTTTGTCTGAGCTTCTGGGTTTTCTCTCCATGTTTACTGTGTTTACAAAGACCCAAAATGCAGAACAGTCCAACACAAACATAACTTGAATTATATAAATTATTATGTCATTAAAGACAAATTATATATTATGGAGGATAGAATTAACAGATGTTCGATCCTCCTAAAAATATAGGGAAAAGGGAATATACATACATATATTGACAATTGGGGGTTCGCGGTCAGGTCCCCAACCTCTTGGTACCACATTCTGAGCAGAATTTTGAGGTTTCCCTAAGGTAAGGAACACCACATTCATCACAGAACTTTGCAGGACTCGTTGGCTGGACAAAAAGAATAAATATAAACGATAGACATGTAAATATAAAACACAATGGATGAACTTGCTTTAAACAAATTAACCTCAGTATAAAGACCGAACCAAGAACAGACCGAAAAGTACGAGATGGGCATGGGTCACGATAGGAACAATTTAGGAAATTCAAGTTGATTTAGATATGCTTTTGAAGTGATTGTTCATCAAAAATTTTCCTTGTGTTAATGAATCAAGTTTTCCAAGTGGGAATAGGAGGTTAAAAGTTAAGAAATTACTTTTTATAGGGAACTAACAAAATTTACGAGTTGGGTCCAAGACAAAGAATAGCCCAGTTTAACTACCGCCAAGAAAAATAGCCCAGGAATGTGGTGTAATTGCAGTCAATCTTGGAATAGTTGGATTGTAATTTTATTATAGATGACATAAGGAGAAGATGACACATTATGCACTCCTAGAAGAACTAATACACTCCATTATGCAGTGACAAGATGACAAGTTTTGATACCCCTAGAAGAACTAATGCACTCCATTATGCAGTAGCTAAGATTCAAAATCATGCAAGAAAAAAAAAAAAAAAACATATGTAATGTAATGAGAAGAAAGAGAAAATATTATGCTCACCATAACATGAAGACGCCCCCCAACATGACCAAGAGACTGTAAACAGGCAATATGGTGGTGCGAGATGGGTGCTGCCTGCTGGTTCTGAGAAATTTCGGGCAGCTGAGGTGGTGGTTGCATGAATTGGGAACTTTGGTGATGCAGAGGATGGAATTGAGACTGATGCCCCAATGTCTGCATATGTTGTTTACAAGGCATCTGCTCAAATTCAAATCATGGTCTTCTTCAAAAATAACCACTTAGTTTTCTATGTTCCCAACATTAACTGTGAATTATTTTATTTTTATTTTACAAATGTAAAAGAGGATAAATGCAAAACAGAATAAAACCTCAGGGAGTCAGGGGTACTCTTTCCATAGTTTAGAAATTAAATGGGTGTTTAAGTAAATTATATAAGACCGCAGAGGTGTATTGTGTAATGAGAACCATACCACAATGGAATTAATCCAGTACACCCCAGAAGAACAGAACACATGCAACAAAACTCTATTCAACTATTAAAGAAAAAAATTTGACTGATAAAAAAATAAGGGAAAGAAAGAAATATCTTACTTCATTTGGTGGGTGATAGCCTTGAGAAGTTGCCATAGAAGAAGAATTTTCAGGACTAGAGAATGCCTGATAAAATATTCCACGATCCTTTAAAGGCGAGTTTTGAGAACTGACATTTTTTTTAGAGAAAAAAAAAAAAAAAAAACTCTTGAAAACTTACAGGCAACCCGGGCATGTTTGAGATGGAGTTTGACACGACACGCCTATACTTGTGTCTTGGAGCATAGAACTTGTAGTCTCTAGCAGAAACAGCAACTTCATTTCGTCCAGTTAATCTTTTGAACCTGAAGATAGCATATTATATGGATTATGATCAAGTCACACATCTTAATTTACATGCATGTCAGTGATGTCACCGCATCAGTGGTTTGCTATTGAGACACTAGGATATCAACAGAACTAATGCAAACTGCAAAGTGAAAGCATTTGATAGTGCCAAATTTACAACATAAACATTTTTGTTAAAAACAATGGCCACATCAACTTGCCAACATAGATGAGATCAATGTGAATGTGCACAGTGTTCTAGGTATGAAGCTTTTTCATGTTATAGTATAGAAGGTAAGAATACACGTCTAGAGTACAATAACTTGTGCATCCACACATTAAACAGAGCTGGGTTGAACAATTCTCCTACCAATCCTGGGGATTTTCGGCTATTCGTCTTAACAAAAGTTGTTCTTTAGTCATTTTTAGACTAATAGACCCGTTTTACCTTTACTTTCATTTCTTGGGATGCAATACATTTTGGAGACCCAAGAAATCTGTTTTTAGACAGGATCCAGGAGATCATTGGTTGGATTCAGAAAATGTACCACCCTAATTTTCGGAAGATGGAAAATCCAATTCATTAACATCCATATAGAGACAAATTACTCAAGCATTTGCCTTGCTTCCTGGTGGCAAAATTAGATTTGCAAACGAATAGAGAGCTCAAGTCAAAGCTTCACCCAAGCTCCGTGCTCGGTCAACCTCACCTCGAGCTCAAGTCAAAGCTTCACCCAAGCTCCGTGCTCGGTCAACCTCACCTCGAGCTCAAGCACCTAGAACCAGAACTCGAGCTATATGCTCGAGTATTCAACAGTCGCTCGAGTATAAGTGTAATTAATTTAAATAACCTTAACTCAAGCTAAATTCGAGCCAAACTCGAGCTACTTTTGAGCCAAAATTTGAGAAAAAAATATGTTATCTAAATAGACAATTATTCTTTTAAATTTGGAGCTGGACTACATCAAAAGCCGATCTCAAGCATTTGAATATTTATTCGAGTCGAGCCTAGAGGAGCCTTAAAAATCTTGGCTTTTCGAGCTCGAGCAGCAGTGAAAAAATCAAGCCCAGCTTGATAAGGCAAGGCAAGAAAAGGCTTGGCTCGGTTGCAGCCCTAGGCAGAATTCTTTGACCACACGTACACAGGACGATAATGTGGACACTGCAAGTTGCAATGTTGAAAATATCAACATTCTACTTATCAGGCCTTCAATTTACATTTTCTTTGCCAGGGCTCTATTCTCAGTCTATGGACCAGTCATAATGACTGGCTGTTCCACTATTTAATCACAACATTAATT